GAAAATAATTCTGATTCTGGGGAAAGAGACCTTTTGATCTGACAAGCAAAGTCATGGTAAAATTATTTTTTGTCAGCTGAAGTTAATTCATTCCTGGTGTTCCTAGCCAAGAAGGTCATTAAATACTGAAGCTCTTTGGATGGAGGGATGGTAAGCCTTGGGGTGGTTGCAGAGGACCACAAGCCATCTCCCTCCCCACAGATGAGTGACAGTCAAGAAGGCTCAGATTTGTCTTTGCCACATTAACAAGACATGAAGCCTGTATTAAGATAATGTGTCCCCCTGAGGTTCCCTGGTAGAAACAGCAGCTTGGATTCAAATGCCTACATCCAGCTGATTACTGGTGTCCAAGCTCCAGCAGGAATTTCTGACAGATTGGACTGGAGGCACCCAGAACATTGTTTATTCCTTTTCCTCTGCAGCTTGTTTCAGAGATCTGCAAGCTGCTCTGGTACTCTCAACATCTGAATATTTTGATCAGCTCTCTGACAGCGCAGGAGCTGCAAATACCAATGGGAGCTGCCTTCCTCTTTGTTATGGTTTTCTTATTTAATTTCTTATTTCTGCAAGGCTATGAGAATGGAAATACATTTGCTTATGCAATCATAATGTTCAATGTGTTTGCATGCAATCCAATGAGTCATAAGAAATAAATGCTCACAATGAACAATACAGTAGTTTATTCTGGGTTTAAACTGCATTAAAAGATGATGTTACCTTACACATATCATTTCCCTGTCCCTGGAGGAAAAGGGACATCTCTCAGCATCGTAGTTTTGGAGCCAGCACAATCCATGGCCCTGTGCTGAGCATTCCCATTGTGTGCATCAGGACAAGCACCTTGGGATTTGGTACCCTCTATCATCACAAAGCAGTGGCTTGTTTCTCCACATCCCACTGCCAAATGGGATCAACATTTGATATTTTAGAAAAAGTTTCAAAAAAACCCAAACACAACAGCTAGCAATGTTGGCAGCTGCCAAAAGACTCTGTGTTTGCCAAACCCCAAAGTGTCTCCCTCTGGCTTCTCCATAAGAGATAACCAGGGTGTTGAAATCACAGTGCTCCTCACAACCCTTCCCTCTCCTCTAGCCCTCTCAAATCACTTTCTGCATTTTAGGCAATCCTGGTGTTAAGGCAGGGCCCTCTTTCACTCACTGGCCACCCTGCATAAAGGTAAAACCCTGGTGTAGCAAAACAAAGAGAATTAGGGTCTGAAAGGGAGATTTGATTGTCATTCAGCTAAAACAGCCCCCATTTAGTTTCTCAGTAAGGGTTCGTCCTTTTTGACCCCATAGGGTGGAAAGGAAATGTTCACTTTTAATTATTATTTGCCTTCAAGAGTTAGATTTCAAAAATGTATTAACTCAAAGCCAGGGACAAATCAAACGTTTAAGCCTGAGAGTCAAAGCAAAACTGAGAGTTTGCAAATGAAAACAGAACAAGCAATCCCAAAGTCTTCAAAACAGCTCTGAGCCTACCCTGAAGCTCTGCTCATCCCTAAATTCTGGTACACGCTGGAGTTATATTGCCCCTTGTGTCCTGTCTGTGGCAGCCTCATAAAACTAACCAGGAATTTATGCCAGATTAAAAACAAGATCCTTTCTCTGCCTTACTGAATATTACATTTGGGCAGAAGACAATACCTATTGCTAAAGAAACACAGAAGTTGTATGAGAGGTTGTAATTCAGCAGGATTATATTTAGAGAAAGAGCTTAGATGTCTTAGGATTTCTTTTCTGAATGCTGTGAAATATAATTTTCATGTCCTAAAAGAGAATTAAAAAAAATGTCCCTCTTTCCTAGTAATTACTTCTGCTCAAGCATTATCCATTACCAAGGTGAAAGAAACTCTGAAAGAAGTAGACTAGAAACCTTCTGAGTACAGTCTTAGTGAACTAAAGCCAACACTGACTTAATTTCGTAGCATTTTCCAAACTGTTCCAGTTAAGCACCAAATCCTGTGCTTTCAAGTGTGTGATAATTATGGATGCCCAAATGGAAACATCAGGTTTTGCTGGTTTTAAGTCTTACTGTGTCCTTACAAAACAAATTGAAATTTGTAAGTAAAATAACTGAAAATTTGAATACTGTTGGCTGGGTACTGCAAAATGGAAATGGCAAAGATTAGTGAGATGGTGAAGATCAATGAATTCCCTAAAATTTGTGATCTAAAGACCTGATTTTATAAAGTGCTTCAAATCATGTGGACAGAAAAGCCTGTGTATTTTTACATATATACCTGGTAACATGGAACTTCAGGGTCCTGCTCCAAGTTTCTCTTATTTTAAACCCCAAATCATATGACCGTGATACACAAAGACAAAAGTTACTGCAGATGAAGTTCTGGAGTCAATGAAGTCCCAATCACTTTAGAAACCTTGAGAAAAGCAGATCAAAATTCAGTATAAAAAATCAAACCTTTATGCTATTCTGATTGTTGCATACTGTTATTTGTGGTAAGTATAAAGTGCCATAAGCTATTTCCCTGTTTAGACAAGATAGTTCTTTAATATCTAAAAAAAGTAAATTATAGCAAGTTATGATCTGAGATGAGTTATAGTAACCAGAGTTTCATGGGGTTTTATGTTAAAAGCTTCTCTTTCCCCTTGGCTTTACCCTGCTCCCTGCTGCTACAAGAGGAATATCAGATTTTCTGAAAACATGTTTAAATGGGATTTGGATAATTCATCTCCTACAGTTTGGCTGTGCTATGCTGATGATTATTTCATGCTTTGACCCCATCATCCAGAGCAATTATTCATATTTAGGGAAACATTTCAAGCCAAGCAGCTGTTCAAGTTTACTATGTAGAAAAAGGGAGGCCTTCTCTTTCTTTAACCTTTCCTACTGGCTCATATTTTGCTAGGGAGAGTAGTCTGAGAAAACACAGGGATTTTTTTTTAACTTCAATTTTATACTAAACAAGTTTAACGTACTATCCACAAATCAGTTTCGATTTATTCTAAGCATCTGTAGAATAAGATGAATGTCTTCCACCTCAGTACCACAAGTTTAAATAAGTCATAAATCACTTTTTGTTGGGGTTTGGATACACAATAGGTCAAACTGTCTTAATGTTTGTGTCAGTCTGTCATAAAAGCACTTACAAAAATCTGAACCTTTATACCTCCTCCCCCCATCCAAAAATCTATATTTACTCAATAATCTTTTTTTTTCTTTTATTTGTTGCTCGCCCTTGTGAGGCAAAACATACGCAACATCTATTTTTAGCTTTGCCTTTGACAGAACATAGTTTAAATCTGAAATGTTTAAATGAAGTTATGATGTCCATAGAAAGTCTTAAATACAACAGTGAATCTAATGGATTTTTGGAACAAAACAGTGAAAAAATAATTTGAACTTTTCTGGTATTTGGCAGTGTAAAGTCATTTTGATGGCTTTGTCCATTAAAATGCAAATTAACTCTTTCCAGAGTTTTGTTGCCTTATAACTTTTAGATTTACTGAGTTAAGTAGCTGTGTAATAAAAGTAAACATCTGAGGTTGTACTACAAATTTTGTTGTAAAACTGCTTTAACTGTATACAACTTTACTTTCAAAATAGCCCTGATTAACTGTTGGAGTTTGTGAGTTGATATTTCTTTTTACAAGAATATTTTCTTTCATGCATTGTTAGTGTAATTAATATAAATATTAATCGCTTTGTTGCAGGGTTACAGCATGTACCCCTAAACCACAAAAACTTTTTGATCTCAACCGCATTTCTGTTAGATGAATTGTGAACTTGGCTCTTCAGGCAGGTTTTCAGGATTGGGTGGTCAACAGATAGCACAGTAACTTCTGTCAGTGTCTCTGTTTTGAGTTTTTAAAAGTCATAATTGTTAGGGTAAGAAAAAAATATCTGCATTTGATTTTATAAACAGGGTATTCCAGACCAGCTCCCAGCACACTCTAGGAATTCTGATTGGGAAATTTCTGCCAGCCTACCACACAGAGAGACAGAAAGAGGAAACCGAGTTGTTGATAGGTAATAATCTTCCTCTTATTTTTTTTCTAGAAAAGAAAGCTATGGTCAAGTATCCCATAACTATGGATGTCCCAAGCAACTAGAAAATAAGTCTTGAGGTATCTGCGCCTCAGGAGATGGTGATTTTTATGTGTTTTCTTTTTTCTTTCTTGCTCTGATTGGTATCAGCCACAAGTAACGTGGATAAAAGGACTACCTGTCCTTCTTGCCACTGAAACTTGAGTAACGGGTCAGACCTTATCAATAGAGCTTCTCAATCACTGTGTAAAGAGAACAAAATTCATGAGATCCTCCTAAACCTTCTCTTCTCTAGGCTAAACAGTCCCACTTCTGTCAGCCTTTCCTTATAGGAGGGATGCTCTCTTACTCATCCTTGTGGCCCTTCATTGGACCATGTCTCTCTTGTACTGACGAGCCCAGAACTGGGACAAAGAAGGATTACCTTCTTTGTCCTGCTGTCAATACCTTGTATAATGCAGCTCCCTTCTGCAGGTCCAAACCTTGGTTGGCCTCTGGGAATTCACCCAGGCTGTTCTTCCCACTCAGATTTAAGAGGAGAAAAAAAATATTTCCTTCTGGAAGCGGTGTTCTCCAGCCATGTTTTGTTAATGCCTCCAGGGAGGTGATGGCATCAGGAACATACATGGCATATGGGGAATCAAGCTCAATCTGACCAGGGCTCGACAGCAGCAGGAGAGATGAGTGAGGCAGAGAAGAGCCCTAATGCTAAACACCTTCAGGCACCCCAGTTCTTTGCGGAGACACCTTCCACTAGACCAGCAGCAGCTGAATAATGGACAATAATCAGTTTCTTAATGGGACATTTTTAAAGCAAAATGCTTGATACAGTGGTATATGAATAGCTTTGTGGACTTGAAGGCTAAGCCAATTAAGTGTGATCCTTGATAACATAGAAGCAGATTTGCTGGCATTAATCCAATCTTATTGTTTTCCAGCAAATTAAAATAAGTAGAATTTTATATTAATATATTAATAATTTAAGAACAACCAAATATTGTGAATATTATTTTAATATTTAATAAAGAAGTGGTAGAATACTTCTTTTTTTTTACTTTCTCTGTCAAAATAGAATGTATGACATTTTTCCACATTAAATCTGATAACAGTCTGTTTTTAAAGTTGTACTTCTGTTTCTTGCTGAAGTGATGACAGGCTGTCATGCACATAGAGCTTAGCCAGGGTACAGTCTATCTTCAGCATGAAGACTTGTCCAACATACAGCCTTAGAACTAAAAACTATGAAAATAACAGGTAACACAGGTATAAAAAAGAACAGATTAGGTTTTACTGAATAAATGAAATTAATTTGTTTGCTTGTATCTGTCATAGAATAGTTCTATCACTAATATATAGAACAAAGTAAATAGTAGCAAAATCACTTACTCTGTCATTTCATTACATGTCATTATAAAATGTCCTGTGTTAGGTTTTGAATAATGACTAATGTTTTGTAATACCTTAATTTTCAGATGACATGGTATATTTCAGTTCAATTAAAAAAAAACATTTTCATCCCATGCAAGGTCACAAAAGATATAAAAAAATTATTTCAGGATAACTCAGACACATTTTATTGAATCTAGCCTTCAGTTATATATCTATCATTGCTAAGGCAATAGCAGGATCACGGTGTTGCCTTTGTAAGATTCATGCATAAAAAGAGCTCTTAACAGTGATGGATTCTTCCCAGAGGTACAGCTAATATTGATCTGCTCCTGGTGGCACCCCAAATGCACAAGATACTTTCCAAAAAAGAAAGGCATAACTTCTGTTGCTGGACAGCTTCTTGCTGAAGTTCACTGAAACCATGCAGGGTTAGGTGGAGGAGGGGGAAGGAAAGGAAGTCTACCTGAGAAACAGAGTTGAGCAAACCTTGCATCTTGGGTTGATCCAGCTGGCCTCCAGGAAGAAAAAGTACGTTCACATCTGACATAAGACATAGCACAGTAAGAAATAACCCCAGCAGGGCACAGAGATGCTTGTGTGAGAGTCAAGGGCACATGTTAACATGTGGATGGTTACCAGCAGGCAGAAAATCTGGGAAACTTGTTGAAATCTCTAGTACAATCCCCATTCTTGGAAATATGCAAAACTTGATGGCATATGATCTTGAGTGACATAATCTAATGTTGAAGCTGGATCTGACTTTGAGTCCTGCAAGAGTTAGATCAGATGAGTTGCATCCTAAATGGTTGTGTGATTCTGTGAGAAAGGTAAGATAGCTTTATTTATTCAGCCAAATCTCAAACAAGATGACTAGGCACCCATTCTGTGCTCTGGACACCTCCATCACATGTTGAAAACCATGATGCCCACAGCAGCAGAGGTGGGCACACTCAGCTCACTCTCTTGAGTGGCACTGTTAACACAGGGATGCAAACATGCCAGGAGCATTATCACTTGTGGGGTTTGCTAGTGAGGAAGGAGTGGTACCTGAGAGGAGGGGAGAGTAGCTGAGAAGATGGGGACTCTTTAGAGGGATCACCCTAGAGCAGCTTTCCTCTGTTTTGTACAGATGAAGCAACATGTTGAACGGTTCTGCTGATCTCTGCTAAGACAACCCAGCAGCTGGGTCAAGGACTGGATCAGGAACTGGGTAGGACTTCACAGCTTTAAGGTAATGCCCTGCATTCCACCAAAAAGCTTATCAGAGACACCAGCCAGTCTTAGCACACAGGTCTCTATGTGCTGCTGGGGTGCAGCTCCGCTTTATAAGCACCCACAGCCTTTTGCAACAGCTTAAGCTTGCAGATGGTTGCAAGGTGCAGCACATATCAGCAACCTAAGCTTCAGTGTGATAAAAGAAAGATAACTGATAAAGACCACATGGGCAAGGAAAGGGGAATGACCTCAGCAGGGGCTGATGGAAAAATCTTGCATCTGCTGGATCCTGACCTTTCTGCGCTGAGAGTCAACCTGGCTGAGTTTTGATGGGCAAAACTGTTGTCCTGTTGCCTCTGCTCAGCCTGCCTGCCCTACATCTAGACAGCAGCCTGAGGCAGAGGTACCTGTCAGACTCGCACAGATTGCAGCTGCCTTTAAATGAGCAAGTTGTCACACCAGCAATGGTGTGGAGGGTAGCTCTAAAGCAGAGGAAACTGAGGCAGGTTACTGATAACACTGATGGAAAAAAGGAAATTAATGGCTGAACCTGGTCTGTTGCCAGGCAAGCCCCAGCATATGTACAGATACATATAATAAAATAATTGAAAAAAAAATTACAAAAAAAAAAGAGAGGAATTATAGCAAAAATACTTAAATTGCTTTTATTTCCAGCCCAATCAACAAATATGTTCATTTTGCAAAACCTGTTGGACTTCACGCTAAGTGATACATCCAGAAAACCTGCCCATTACTGATCCTGTACAATACAGACTGAGTTCATCTTTGAATGAGTGCCCAACCCCATGCATGACTTTGAGGTATAACGGAAAAAAAGATGAGTCATTTGTTCTCAAACCAGTTTCCTCACTGGGAAAATATTCCTGTAGGTCACACAGTACTTATTTACTCAGTAAATACTATGACAGTGAGATTTACAACCACGTCATCAATAACACTGATTGACAAAGAACTTCCCCAAAGCTCTTTTATCTCCAGACAAACATGATACATGCACAAAAGGATGCAGTTAGACATTTACAGCTGAGCACGTGTGTTTGGAGCAGGGGTAGGTAGGGAAAGGGGGAGGAGTGCATGAAAAACAACACTTGAACTATTTTTCCCGTAAGATCAGTGTTTGGAGCTCCCTCATACTTGTTTTGAATAATCACTTACTTGTTTCATCGGCTGCTGAGGGCTCTTTTGATCTTTTAGAGAATGAACCGAAAAGGGATTCCTCTTTTAGAAAACTTGGGCAATTCTTCACACTCAAAACTGCACATGCTCAGTTCATTATTTTGTCTGTACCGAATGAACTAGGTGATAGCTCTCACCGGATCTGGTTAAGGACCATATTAATAATTTTCCCTGTTGTCTGAATTCACCCACTCCACATCCACCCTGCAGGAATAACAAGGGGAAAAAGGAGAGCTTGGTGGAGATAAATGCAGCTGCTCAGATGCTCCTTTTTATGGAAGCTATCCTGTATTCCATGAGTATCTTTTCCTGTGTCTCATAATGGCCATAGGATTTTATATTTATTGGTACCAATTACGCTTGGTCTTCTTTTCAATAAAACAATTTTCCATTGTAAAATGATCTTGTGTCCAAGGAGAAAGTTTTGTGGGTCCCAGTTACCTTGGAGAATTTTTTCTCAGGAAAAGAAGGCCTAACAATGCCATTTCTTCTTTCTTTTCAAATACTGGCTTTTTATTATTTTGGGTTCATAATTTAGATTTATTTTTTAATTTTGTATCATATTCAGGTGTATTTTACACTATATTTCACCAAAATATCAACTGAATACTAAAAAACACATCTTACTTAGACTCTAGAGAAACACAGAATGTTAGTTATGTTTTCTGGCCATCCTTAATACCAAACTTTTTGTCATTATCTGCAGCTGCTGAATCTACTGGTCTCTTTTACTCTGCAGGTTTATGCTGAATCTTTGAGCATTTCCTAAATACCCCAGTTCGGACAGATTAATATTGGAAAAAAAACCAAACATTTCCTCTAAAGGCTGGATTTTTTATGCAGTCAGTGCACAGAAGGAGCTACTCACACCTGCACAGGGAGATTTTGTGTGTCTTTCTTTGGTGCCTAGCCTGAAGAAATGCAAGACTTGTGGAGAGGGGTTATACCTTTTATGGGACCAACTCCATGTAATGAAGATTTCAGAAGATGCACCAGCTTTCTTGATCACCTATATAGAGAATTTGGGGTTTCTCCTTAGAGGAGAATTGCCTCATTAGGCGTGGACAGTTTAAGTGCAAACTGAATTAAGCAGCCAAGTCCCGGCTGGTAGACACAAAAAAAGCCTTGAAAACCTCTGAACATGCACACGAACTAAGGAGAAAGGCGCAAATGGCTTTAAAAATAAATGCCAGGTTGCACCAGCTTCATGATTTCCAGGGTCTGGCTCCTGCTGTTCGAACTCGTGGATTTGACAGTAATACAAAAATTGCTCAACCAAGCGTTTGCATCTTGCAGCCTGTCTGGCATTCCTTCAGCTTCGCTTCTAGTAAAGCCTGTTCCCCATCACTGAAGAAGCTCTAGAGAAACAGGGACTTTTTAACACACTGCAGAGCTTGTGCCACCATCCAAACAGGCAAAGACATCTACTGCAGCTCTGGCAAGCAGATGGGGTGTGCTGACAGACATCTCAGACAGTGCATTTACAGTGCTCTGGGGACTACTGTTTATTCCCAGCTCTGGTTTTGCAGTGCCAGTGGCTGGGAGATGAGCTGCTCTGGGGCTGCAGCACCTGACCTCCCTGGGAGCATTGCAGGCCATGGATGTGGGTCCTCTCCTGAGTCACAGAGGGAGAAGGAGTGAAGCCAACCACATGCATCTGGCTGCTGTGGAAAGCAGGGAACACAGGCAACCAGAAATGGCTACACGAGAAGAAGGTCATTGTAATGCAGTGGTGGAGACATCCTTAGTTGGGGTAAGGGAGTTTGTGGCCCTTCCCATAGGTATATGATTCAGTCAATGGCACCTATAACTATGTAGTGCACTCACCTTTAGGAATACTTACCAAATTGCATCCATGTTTGAGGCCCTGAAAGTGTCCAGTGTGATGCAAGTGTACAGAAACAAGCAACACCAGCCCCAAAGAACCATGGAATAAGTAGTTAGGTTACAGCAGGGTAGGGTGCAAAAGAGAGGTCAGAAGGGAAGTAAGAAATGTTCAGAGTGATGCATCTAGAGGCAGAGTAGAGATGGGGGTGGGGCCCAGATCTTCTAATTGTGTTTAGTGATAATTTTCTGTGAAAAATAAAATCGAAGAATTAAGCCGGACTGCACTGTATCTGCCTCATTCTGTCTTCTTTCCCTTTCAGATATACTTACTGTACACATATAAAGGCACTGAGAATACCAACAACACTGAAGAGGTGATGCCGAGTTAATGACTGTATCAGTACTAATACATGTAAGAAAACCAGATGTAAGTAAATCACCAGTGTAACAGCACAGACACACACAGACATCCACACCTATTTGTGTTAGGGCTTGTATACGTGAAGAGCCACAGACTCATCAGACTTGGGTTATGACCGATGTGCAGGGGGAAAGCTGGTGCAGCCCAGATACCCAGCTGGCACACCCGGGCATCCTGATTTCCCAGGCAG